TGAAAAGGTTATGAGACAGCAGCCATGGTATACTCAAAAGGACTAGCACACAAACCAGCACAGGTTACACTTTGTCCATTTTATTTTTTGAAAAAATTAAAATTTAATGTTTCCCACAAATTGCTGCAATGAAGCTAGAGAATAAATTGCCTCCAAAGCCCATGTTCCTTTCTGTTTTAAAATGCCCGAAACAAGTCAAGGCTTATTAACTTCATGTTCACCTGAAGTTCAGGGAGACTGTGAAATTTGCTACACGTTTCTGAGCATACAGTTATATGCACATTTTTTCATGAAGAGAAATCTGAACTATTTTCAAAAAAGTCACTGACCAGGGGTAGGAGGGGTGGACTGCATCTCAACAATAAACAACAGGGAGGACTATCTATAAATCTTACATACTATCTTTGTACAAGTACTGGAACAACAGTGAAAGTCCATGCTTCCAACAGCAAGTAGCCCTCTTATGTAACGAGGTGCTTTATTTATCTGTATTATCATCCCAGGTACCAAGCCTGCTTCATACCTCTTTCCTTTAAATACCTTTTAATTAACTATGTGAACATGATTGGTATAAAAAAATTATTCCACTACATTCATCCTTCAACAGCAAGCATGATCTCTTATGTTCATTTGCCCTGACCATAGTGAGTGTTTCTTAATTCTAATCCACAACTCAGAAGACAATCTAAACTCCAGAATGTCATTGAGAGCATTCAAATCAATTTCCCAACCCCAGCTGTTAATTTATACACCCCCCCCCACTCCTCCCTCTCTTCCAATTAAAGACAGGGTCTCTCTGTAGCCTCCAAATGACCTGAAAGTCACTATGTTGACCACGCTGGCCTTGATCTCACAGAGATCTACCTGCTCCTGCCTCGAGTGCCGAGTACTGGGATTAAAGGCGTGCACAACCACACTTGGCTAATTTATATGCTTTTTTTATTAAATCTTTTTTATATTATGCATTTTGGCCAGTGAGATAGCTCAGCAGGTAAAGGTGCTTGTCACCAAACTTAATGACCTGAGTTTTATCCAAGAACACACATGGTAACAAGACAGAACTGACTCCTGCAGGTTTGTTCTCTGCCTTCTGCATGTGTGCACAGACACAAAGACACACACTAAATAAAACGGGGGAGAGGAATTAATCATTTCATCTTACATATACAATTAACTTGTTAAATTACTTTTTTATTTTAGTTACTATTTTAAATGTAAAATAAAAATCAGTTTGCACAGGCATATCATCCTGTAAGTTCTAATACATGCACAGATTCTAGTCATTACAGAATAACTCCAACCCCCACCCCCAATCCCCTTATGATATACCTTTAATGTCAGATCTTTCCTTGACTCCCAGTCTGTGGCAACTACTAATTTGTTTTCTGTATTGCTTCCAGACTATGTAAACAGAACAATACATTACATAACCTTTGGGAATTGATTTTGACTTAGCACAAAACAGTCACAGTACATTCAAGTTGCTTCACACATCAATACTTTGTTCCTTTTGAATTGAGGAGTGATATTCCATTGTATTACAGAAAGGGGGATTTGAATTGTTTCGATTTTTGGTGGTACATGATTAATGTTGTTATAGACACATTTGTATACAGGTTGTTTGGTAGATATATGCTTTCTCTAGGATCAATATCCAAAGAGGGATTCTGGGTGATGTAAGAAACTGAACTTCTTCAAACTGGGTCTTCCAAGTATGCATTCTCACAAGAGTGAGATATTATTCTGCATCCTTTTCAGAACTTCCTATTTTGAAGTTTAGCCATTTGTATCAATCACTCTGCCTCACTAGAAAAAAATGCCTGGTATTCAAACAACTAAAAAAGGTTTTTTGTTGGTTCGTCTGGGTTTTTTTAATTTTTTTTGAGACTGGGTCTCATGCATCCAAGCTGAACTATGTAACAGAGGATGACCTTGAACTCCTGATCCGCCTGCCTCCACCTATCATGTGCTGGAAACGCAGGTGTGCATTACCATGCCCAGTTTGTGTGGTGCTGAGGATTGAATCTACAGCTTCATCCATGTGAGGTAAGCACTCTACTAACCAAGTCACACCCTCATCACTGAGAAATGGTTTATTTTGGCTCATGGTTTCAGAAGTTTCAGTCTGTGAGCTGGATCCATTGTGTCTAAGCCTACTGTGAGGCAGTAAAACATGGCATGATAGATCAAAGTTGCTTATTTCATGGTGACCAGGAAACAGAAAGGGGAAAAGCCAGTGACATGACATACTACTTTTCAAAGTACATCCCAATGACCAGATTCCTTCATCTAGACCCACCTCCTTAGTTCCACCATGAACTCATCGATGGAGATTAATCTGAGGATGTCTGCGCCTTTATGATTCAATTATCTCTCCCTATCAGCTATCCCTATCCTACCCTACCCTATCAGCTGGGAATCAAGCCTCTTCCAACACAAGACCTTTTAGGACATTTTATATCCAAACTAAAACACTGTAATAAGTGTGTGATGGTAGTATATAGTGGTTTACTTTATATTTCCTAAAAGTATACAAATTTGGTTTAGCCTTTGCTAGTATCACATAAATGATTTTTTTACCTTAGTGTCCTCGTTTGTTCTTCATTGCTATGACAAAATACTCTGACCACTACCAACCTGGGGAGGAAAGGGTTTACAGTTCATCCGGGAGCCCAAGGTAAGAACTCAGGGCAGGATCCTGGAGGGAAGAGCTGGAGCACAGGCCATGGAGGAACACTGCTTACTGGCTTCCTCCCTGGCCCCTGCTCAGCCTGCTTTCTTATGCAACACAGGCCCACCTGCCCAGGGGTGGCACCACCCATAGTGGGCTGGGCCCTCCCATATCACTCATCAAGAAGATGCCCCTCAGACATGGCCACAGGCCAGTCCAATAGAGGAAATTCCCCGATTGAGGCTCCCTCAACCCAGGTGTGTCAAGTTGACACTAAAGCTATCCAGCATACTTAGTCTAGAGAACACAAAAAATTAAAATCTGGCCTGTTTCTTCCTATTAAAGACAAGGAAGGGGCTTGAGAGATGGCTCAGCAATTAAGAGCACTTGCTGCAGAGTTTGATCGTAGTACCCATGTCTGGTGGCTCACAACCACCTGTAATTTCAACTCTACAGGATCCAACATTCTCTTCTGGTCTCTAAGGGCACCCACATGCATTTATGTACACACACACACACACACACACAGCCCAGAGAGAAGTGATATACTCAGTTTCAGACATTTGCTTTCTCTTAATACTTTTTTTTTTTTTTTAAATCATCATAAAAAGTCCTGGGCTCTCTTTAAATAAGACAGAACCAAACTATAAAAACACTTTAAGCTCTGTACTAACTCCTGCAGTTCACTTGTAAAAGGAAACCAGATAATATACCCACTGAATATAGAAATAGCAAAAGCTATTACAAAGAATTCGGGTCCATCAACAAGTTTGTGAATATACACAAAAGACTCTAATGTCAAGTAGCTGGATCTCAAAATCTTAGCAGTATACAAATGGAAAAATTTTTCTTCTTAATTTCAAAGTCCATACTTTTTCATATTTTACCTGGACAAGTCACTCTTGGCAGTGAACCACCATCAATATGCCCCTGATAACATGAACACACCTCTCTGCTATTTGATCACAGGATTACCTTTAAATCCTATTTAATAGAATCAATGCCAGCAAATATTTCCTTACCACTTGTCCATGGGAGGGAGAATCAACTTACCTGATAGGGCTGAGGGAACAGGAAATGAGCATACCCTGGCTCACTCCCCTATAGGGATCTGTCCTTAGGAATTAACTCCTCATCTTACCTGCAGAGAGGAGACTTCTGCTCTGATCACCATACAAAAAACTACAATTAAAGCTGAGTGGACTCCATAGGGCAGCTGTAATATGTGACTGTATGAGCTTTTAGAGATGAAGTAGAAAGTATCAGGAAAGCCTTCTGTCAGGAGTCTTCAATGTACAGGGCTACAGAGATGGCTCAGCAGTTAGGAACACTTACTGTTCTTCTAGAGGACCCAGGTTCGATTCCCAGCACCCACATGGCAGCTAACAACTGTCTGTAATCCAGTTTCAAGGGATCTTCTGGCCTCTGTGGGCTTTGCAAGACACAGGTGTACTTACATACATGCAGGCAAAACACATATACATATAAAATATAAATAACAAAATCTTGTTTTACAAAATCTTCAATGTAGCTTTTATCAATATTAAAGGAAACAGTCTAAGCTCTAAAACTTCTAAATTTTTCAATTAGATTTGCATTCAAGACAGAAACAAAATGTTATTTATCAACACAGGTATATTTTATATTTGATTTAAAACGTGTGTTTGTGTTCATTGTGTCTAGATGTCATTTGCTTTAAGACTAATTATGTGGGTAAACCCTCTTCTAATTAAGAGAACATATGTTGGTATTTATTACATTAAAGTTTTGTTTTTTTTCTAATGCAGTCCTTTCAGAATCAGTCAAGCATGATAGTGCATGCCTTTAATCCCAGCACTTGGGAAGCCTGGTCTCCATGGCAAGTTCTAGGCCAGGCAGGGCTACACAGTGAAACCCTGTGAGGGGTGTGTCTATATAGAGGGCCATAAGATAAAATTAACACCCTAAAATGCAAAGCTTTTCAATGTTTATCCTGCTCCCATGCTTCCCCTATAGCTGCTTTCCTACAACTCCATAGCATTTCTAATCAACTTCAGAATATACAACAAAATTCCTGTATTTGATAATTAAATAGTGAAACATTACTCTGCTACTTTCCTTGTGAAAGGGAGATCACCTTCACTGCTTAAGGGAAAAATACTCTACTTAGGTAGCTCAATTATTTCACCGGGAAAACAGAATTAACCACTCAAAGAATACTTTGTACCGCAATTCTAATTTACTCAGTCACTGAGGAAAACTTGAACATACTCGTCATTATAAAAGAGGCAGCATACAATACCAGAAGTATCCCAAATGCAGTTTGTTCAAGAGTTTTGTAAATTCTCACCATGCAAAGTGTGGTCTGCCCCTAACACATTCCACTCTGCTGGTAGTTTCAGGTGTCTGAATGCCAGTGCAACCTTCTCATCAAGAGAATTCACATCCCCAGAAGGGGGTCCTGATCGGTCGAGAAAACGAGTGAAGTTCAGAGCCTGCTGATTTCCAGCACTGGTTGCCAGGAATTGAGCAGCATCATAGGCCTCATCCTGGATGAAACAGAAGTCTTCTTCAGCTACTACAAACACAGGAAGGCCCTCTTTGGAAGCACAGAGCAGTACCTTCACGGTCTCACAGCAGTTATGACCTAAAGAAAGCAGAAGCAGTTAAGAAAACTCAATCTACTGAATTTCTAAAGGAAGCTATCCTACAGGATTTAGAAAGAGAAAGAAAAGAAACAGTTTTTAAAAAAAAGGCATAGCCTATCTTTAATTGGATTTTAGTCCACTAAAAAGTCTATTTTATTTACAACAAAAATTGAAGGTAAATCATGAGGTATGAATTATCTGTTCCCCACTGAGTAAGCTATAGGATATAATGAAGAACACTGATGGCTACAGACTCAGGAAACAACAGACATGGACCCCAGCCTCCATCCACTGAAGACAGGTTTGGTTATCCTGACAGTCATTCAGCCTTGATCACTGTTTCTCTGCTCATAAAATGAGACCATCTCATAAACTGTTTAAAATATCAGAATACTACACACAAAGCACATGGCATAAAACAGCTAAAACTAGTTGCTATTATTATTATTATTAAAATGCTGGACTGTTCAGGTAACACAAAAAAAAACAGGTTCTTAAAATTTTTATACTAAGAGTTTCACTAGCTGGTATGGGCCAACAAAGCTGTAAGACAAACTGATGTCTCTGACACTGAAAAAATAGAAAGGGAAAAGAATAAATAAAGGCACAGAAAGCACCTAGGTGAGAAACAAGCTATCTAATGGTTAAAGGCCCTCTTAAGAGTCATCAAATTCACACCTTCTCTAGGCCTGGAGGGTCGGAGGTAAATGTGCCTGAGGTTGAAAAAACTTCCCTGCAAGGTTCTTATCACTGTATAAAGCATCTGCAACCATGGAAACAAAACACTACTACAGATAAACAGAAGTACTAAAGTATGACCTAAAAATTACTTCATTTCCCGTTAAGCTAAAAGTGGAACACATCCCATCCAGGCCTTCCCTTCTGAGACTGAAGAATTAGGACTTTGTTTTACCAGCTTTCTAAAAACAGAACCCTAAACATACTTGCTTGGGCCTATCAAGGCCAGTACCACACAGATGTCATCCTCTAAGAGAAAGGGTACACTACAATAGTCGGTATTAGGAAAAATAATGGTTTTGTTACTCGGTTTGGCATAGACGTATCTAAAAATTTGGTGTTTTTTCTTTATGAAGTGACTGTGGAACAGTAAAGGATTTTTTATCAGTTTGTAGACCTCCACTCAAAGAAGAGAGGTTACAAGGGAAAGCGTGCACATTCACTGCTTGATTTTGGTGGTCAATGAATAAATCTGGTATATTTATTAAAAAAAAGGAAGAAAAATATTTATTTCAAAGTCTTCAAAATATTTTCATTAAAGGTTACTATGTAAAACATACGTATCATGCTTATGATAAAGCATTTAAATAATTCAAAACCATATAAAAAGTCAATATTGACATCCACCCCCCAAGACAAACTGTATTATATCTACAACCTTCGAAGAAAAGGCAATAAAATTACTTCAAAAGCCTTATAACTTCTTTATTAACTCTTTTAAATTTGTTTTATTTATTTTTCAGAGGTTTTAAATTTTCTTATATGTATGTATGAGTGCCTACATGTATGTATGTGCACTCTATTGTGCCTGGTGCCCCCCAAAAGCCAGAAGAAGGTGTCAGATCCCCTGGTACTGGAGTTAAAGGCTGTTCTGTGGGTGCTGGGAACTGAACCCAGGTCCTTTGCAAGAGCAGCAAGTACTCTTAGCTGCTGAGCAATCTCTCCAGTCTTTTTGTTTGTTTTGTTTCTGAGACAAGGTTTCATGTAGCCCAGGTAGGCCTCAAACTTGCTATTTATCTGAGGATAGCCTTGAACTCCTGATCCTCCTGATTTATAGTATCTCTTTTAAATATAAGATTCTTATTCTTGTTGAGAAAAAAAGTCAGGTGTGGTGGCTCATGCTTGTAATTGTAGCACTCAAGGAGTTAAGAGAAAGGACTGCTGAAAGTCCCATGCCAGCCTGGGACTAGTCAGTTCCAGGTCATCCCGGTATATAGAATGGATCCAGTCTCAAAACACCTCCTCCCCTTGATGGGCGTGGTGGTGCACACCTTCAATCCCAGCACTCGGGAGGCAGAGGCAGGCAGATCTGTGTGAGTTCAAGGCCAGCTCAAGGTCTACACAGTGAGCTCCAGGACAGCTGGGGCTACAGGGAGACCCTGTTTCAAAAAGATCAAAACAAACAAACAAACAAACAAACCCCCCAAAAACCACCTCCTTTAAAAAGACAGAAATTAGAAAAGTGGGAGGTGATTGCAATTCTATTACTTAAGTAAAAGTTTTGTTCTGTAAAGCCAGGCATGGTGGCGCACGCCTTTAATGCCAGCACTCGGGAGGCAGAGGCAGGTGGATCTCTGTGAGTTCAAGGCCAGCCTGGTCTACATAGTTCCAGGGCAACTGGGGCTACAGGGACACCCTGTCTCAAAAGGTTATAGACTAATATCAAGATGTAGCTGCCTTTTGAAGGTCAATCATCTGGTCTTAGTAAGAACTGAAATGTTACAAAACACTGACAACGAATCATACATACAGCTCAAAGAAAAACCAGAGCCTATATAAAACACGGTATCAGGGGCTTGAGAGGTGACTCACTGGACGAAAGCCATCACTGCTCTTACTGAGGACCTGGGTTTCATTCCCAGCACCCACATGGTGGCTCACTAGCACCTGTAACCCCAGTTCCGGAGGATCTGATATCCTCTGTGGGCACCTGCATGGCACCTGGAGCACATAAACTCATACAGGCACGTACACATTCACATAAATAAAAATAATTTTTTATTTTTTTTAAAAGCATGACATTAAAAGCAAGAAGGCACAAAGTTCTTTTTCTTCTCATAGCACAAATAACTAAGAATCATAGGAATAGTTCGCACATAAGCAGAAAAGGTACAAAGATGCCTCTATCCAAAACAGCTGCTACAAAAAAAGGACCAGACACATTATTCAGTAACTGAGATGCACAAAGCACTGTACAGATTTTCCATCAAAAGTCCTGATTAATCAGACACTGCCCTTGGTAGACAGGAAACCAGAGGCCGTCACTACTGTCACACAGAAACCACCAAAGGTACTTCTGGAAAGAGAATAGCCTCTAGTGCCAGGTTAAGAATTCAATTCAGGGTAGGCATGGTGGTGCATGCCTTTAATCCAAGCACTTGAAGGCAGGCAGATCTCTGTGAGATCAAGGCCAGCCTGGTCTACATAACGAGTTCAAAACCAACTTGGGGATACAGGACACCCCTGTCTCAAAACAACCCCACCCCCACCCCCACCCCCACCCCCACCCCCACCCCCACCCCCACCCCCACCCCCACCCCCCCGCCAATGAATCAAACATCGAGGCTGGCTCAGTGAATAATAACACCTGTTGCTTTTGTAGAGGACTCAGATTTGGTTCCCAGCACCCACATGGTGGCTAGCATCTGTCCTTAACTCCAGTTCCATCTGATACCCTCGTCTGGTCTCTGGACACTGCATCCATGTGGTGCACTTATATTCATGCAGGTATAACATTCATACAGAAAAATAGAAAAGAAAAATAGAAAAGTTTAAATTATTTTTTATTTTATGTGTATGAGTATATGGTTTGCATGCAGGTAGATACATCCAAGTATGTGTACAATGCCCACGGAGGTCAGAAGATGGCACTGGATGCCCTGGAACTGGAGTCACAGAGTTACTAGCTGCCATGTGGGTGCTGGGAATCGAACCCTGGTCCTGTGCAAGAACAGTCAGTGCTCTTTTCTGCTGAGCCATCTCTCCAGCACCCCCCTCCAAATAAAGTATTTTTTAAAAGAATTCAACTCAAAGAGCCAGAAACCTCTTGTGCATTCCCACCCCAAATGAAAGTGGGGGAAGGAAGGTGCACATACATCTTCCTAAAAGATCAGCTTCTGAAAACCGGATGAATTTCAACAGAGGAAACAATGTCCATCAAGCAGCAGTGATTCCTAGAAGAAGCCTCAGCATATACCAGTGAAGAAAACAAAACCCTTGCCATCACGAAGCTAACACTTCATTAGAATCAGAAATAAGCAAAACATACAGTGCAGGAGAAGTTGCTGAGTGCAGTGGAGAAATGATGCAGGGAAGGGAAGATAAAGAACAACACTGTGAAAAGGCCTTGTAGACTTTTATTAAGAAAAGCTCAGAGAGGAAGAACCTAAAAGGAAGGGAAGACACAAGTCTACGAAGACAACAAAAGTGGAATGAAAACAGCTTAACTGTAGACTAAAAAATTAATCCCATGATTAATGTATTTGACAGCCTACCACACCACCAGTGCCCCATCTCTATCTCTCCTCAATAAAAGGCTGAACTAATCCAATGACAGTAGCTGGACAGACAAATAAAGTATCTCCAACATGATGACTAAAGCAGAAGATCCAGTGGGAGCCTCCTTAAACAGTGACCAGAGCTTCTAACACACTAACTCACTGGCACACAGCAAAGGCTCACAAGCTAAAGTGCTGCCATGATCTCTCCTAGCCTTCTCCAAGTAGAAGAGGGTCCTTTCAGGGACTGTAATCTTTGTGTCACCTCTGCAGTAATTATGAAGCTCTTACCAAAAACCTAAAGGAATTTCAGGTGGCTGAACAATGAGCCACTGGGGAGACGAAGGTTGAATCTGCAAGCATGATAGAGAATATGAGGTGAAAGTAAAGAAAAGGCTGATTAATAGGAAAGGAAAGCATAGTCAGGTACTCCAGGTCTCAAATGAATGAATGGGTCAGGAATGACTTCTCAGAATTAAGACAAAAATACAAAGAGCAGAAGGCAATATTGATTCTGTAGGCTTGAGCCACTAGGACAATAATACTCAAAAGCACTGATGGACATCACAGAGGGTATGGTTTGATAATATGCTGTATATACATACACACACACACACACACACACACACACACACACACACACACACACGCAGACACATACTCTGCAAATTTTAATCCTAACTTCTTTCTAAATAAGAAATACATTTAACTCTATTTCTTGTAAGACCCCACTCAGAAAGTGACTCTACCTAAAGAACTGCTTCTCCTATCATCAACACATGGTAAAGTTTAGCAATGGTGATATTGAATGGCATCCCTGTTTGAGAGAGACCTCAAGTTTCAGATAAGCTTTTCTGATATGATACATGTCGCAGGAAAACAAGATGACTAGACCTTTAAGTTACAAGGGATACCTAATACTCTTTAGAAAGGAAATTGCTGTCTATCCTGACTACCTTCTTATATTTCCTATCAATAGAAATTTAGGAGATATATTCCTAGAAACGGTCTGGAAGCTGTATAAAACCTGTATTTTTCAAAATCCTTTTTATCAGGTAGGTAAAAATAAATACAACCTTCAGTTGACATAATCTCAGATCTCTGAAGGGAGTAATTTTTGGAATTTCATAGGTCTCAGATATAAAGTCAACTTATATGGAATGACATGGGAATGAAAAGCTAGTGAATGTATCCAACATAGTAAGACTCAACAGAATGCTTCAAACACTAGTAATTTTAACACTACCTATACCAATAAAGTGGAACCACCATAGCATGTTTAACCATATCCATTCTACTCTCTAATGGGAAACAATGAAACTGTTAACATTATTAGGAGTACCTGTCAAAGTGCACTCTTCTGAATTCTGGTCAAAACTGGCCATTTTGTTAACTTTAGAAAGGCAGATAGATAGACTAAGGAAAGAAATCATCTCCAGAAAAAAAATTAAGGCATCTTCATATGCTGGGACAGACCAAGAGACAAATATCATACTTTATCACCACATCTGTTAGATATAATGCCTTGATGACTTTTAAATAGTTTTAAAATTCTGTTTAAACTTACAAATGCAATGGTAACTAAGCTGTCATTCCTTATTGGTGTATGATTTACAACTCTGTGGAAAATTTGGCTTTAAAAAGACACTGTAAGGTTTTCCCTCCAAGATACGAAGGATTTATTTGAGTTCTGCCCTTTTGGTTTTGTCACCATGAAATTCAAAATGAATTCTGAAGTACCATCATGATAACTACATGAGAACTTATACCTTCCACATGTGTTTTAATTTTCTCCAAATTTCAACATCTTATAAATTACTTTTTCTGATTCTGATATCTTCCAGTGTATAGCATCTCTTTATTGGACCTATTTATAGTTAAGTTCAGCACTGTATGGAACAAGCAAGATAAGTAAAAATTACCTTTGTACTTAAAGATCTGACAGCAATTGTTAGCACCCTGTTTTACTCTTTAACTCTATACTAATAATTCAGAGAAAAATGTCCAATCACTAGTAAAGTAGCCAGGTATAGTGGTATAGGCCTGTAATCCCAGCACTAAGGAGACTGATGCAAGAGACAGAGTTCCAAGACCAGTCCAGGCTACATAGCTAAACTCTCCCTCAAAAAACAAAACAAGGGGCTGGAGAGATGGTTTAGTGGTTAAGAGCACTGGCTGTTCTTGCAGAGGACCCAGGTTCAGTTCCCAACACCCATATGGCAGCTAACAATCAGCTATAACTCCAGTTCCAGGGAACCCAACGCCCTTTTCTGGCTTCCATGGGCATTGTACAACACAGGTGCACTTATATATGTAAGCAAAACATTCATACATATAAAATAAATCAAAACTAAACAAAACAAAACAAATAACTAATAAAGTCTAGAAGAGAGTTCATTCAGATACCTACCAGGAACAATGGTCTCCAATGTATCAGAATTGACCTTCCGGGTACTTGTGCAGTGATGGAGTGTGGAACCTGAAAATACCAGGTAAAAAACTACATCATCTTCAACTTTGTCCTCTTCTGCAAGCAGTACTGAAACAACACAATCGCCCTAGGAAACGAAAAGATTTAAGAAGTTTGGATTAGTAGGGCTCCTTTGGGTAGTATGCTTTATAAAAATGCATGCAATTAAAAATCAAATATAAATTAAAACTAAGACCCTGGCTCCAGTAGGCTTTTGTTTACATATGTTTTGCCTTATACAGGTTAGACAAGCACTCTACCATTTCTATCTCTAGTCCCTCTAGAAGGTTTCATACAAACACCAACTAGACAGTATTTTAGGCACTGAGAATACAAAAGTACTCTGAAAATAATTGTTTTCTTTGAGCTTCTATTTTAGCAGAGGTGGTAAAACAACAAGACAACAGCATAGTAACTGTTTTGCCCCATTATATGATCTATTTCAGAGGTTTCATGAGCAGCATGCTGAACATGTGTATTCCATAGCATTTGAATGGAATGTTCTATATATGTCTATTAGGTCTGTATAATACATAATGTCATTTAACTAAAAAAAATGTAAGTTAAGGGTGGGGTTATATTTTTAAGAGGGAGGGTGGTAAACAGCTACATGTTCACTGGGGTATTTCTTGGCTTCCATATTCCCGTTTCAACACTAATTAGATAATTTTCCAAATCCTACAACTCATAAATGACTATCAAGTCTAGCCATTCCCCAACAAAGGTAAGGGCCTCTAAAATATCTACCTAGGAATTGTAACATGCATTCAAATTCCACTTACAAAGACATTTTAGATCCAGTAAACTTTCCTTAACTACATAAATAGAACCAATCCTTTTCTTTTCATGAAAATTATTATAACAGATTGAATTCTCCATCTATTAAATAAAAGTCCACTTTCTAACAACCTGTATCTCTTGGCCATCTAACATCCATGTTCTCCTTTACTCATCCCTTCATAAGCCTTTGTCATCAGATAAATCTTATACAATAACATTCCATGTCTTTGAAATTATTTAGAAAGAAAAATATAGTTGTGGATACTTTTCTATTAGTTTTTATTTATAAGTTGTCATTTTTAAAAAAGCTGAGGTTGAGGCCAGGTGTGGTGGTACAAACCTTTAAGCCCAGGCAGAGTCATGTGGATCTCTGTGAGATGGAGACCAGCCTGAACTACATAGCAAGTTCCAGGCCAGATGGGGCTACAGGGAGACTCTGTCTCAAAAACAAACAAACAAAAAACAACAGTAACAAAAAAGTTGAGGCTTGGGGCTAAATTAAATTCTTAGTTTCTGTCCTCTCAATTACGAACATAGCTTGTGTTGCAACCATAAACCGAAAAAATTCACACATCAAGGTCTGAGGCACTGAGATTTAACATTTCACACATCTTAATACAAAATATAGAGAAACAATTTAGTGAAAGCTTGGTCATTTGACATGAAAAATAGAGGGAAAATATCATTTACTTAGAAAGATTTTTTTTCTTTTCTATTTTACCAATATTAAGGTCTGTAAGAGAAGCATGCCACCCTGTGGCCACATTATTAAGCCTAGAAGCATATGAAGCAGAACACAGTATTTTGCTAAACACTGAAAACCAAAAATCATAAAGTTAAACCTAGGATTAAGTCTAATGAAGGATATATTCCAAGAGGCTGATTTTGTAAAGTGAGTTCAATGTCCTTCCTAAATCATGAATACCACTCCCATTTTATTCCCAGTGCCTGTCTAGCACCCTAAATAGGATTCCCTAGAAGCATATGAAGCAGAACACAGTATTTTGCTAAACACTGAAAACCAAAAATCATAAAGTTAAACCTAGGATTAAGTCTAATGAAGGATATATTCCAAGAGGCTGATTTTGTAAAGTGAGTTCAATGTCCTTCCTAAATCATGAATACCACTCCCATTTTATTCCCAGTGCCTGTCTAGCACCCTAAATAGGATTCTGTGCACAAATGCAGCATATAAGAAGTCAAAATGAACCCAAATAAGCTCTAACGTACCTGGACTTTAAGTTATTAACATAATGAACTGAAGAGCTCCAGAGCACTCTAACACAAGGAATATCACAGTAAGTAAAACAGAATTACTACTAACTTTGGTCATTACTCTCAATTATAATTTGGTCTTACACCTAAGTCTCTGGGAAACAATTCTGAAAAGTTTAAGTTGGTAAAATGTTTGCTATCCTTCAGCACGAAGTAACCGTTTAAATGTCGGCAGCACATATGAAACACTCCACTTTCTCAAAGTACTGAAATGCCCTTATATCCCAGAAAATGTGCAAAGGAAAGTGCAAAAGTTTCATCTTTTTCTTCAAGTGTTGGAAACTCTGAGCCATGGGCCACAGTCTGTCTCCTGCTTGTTGGGGGCTCACCAGCTGACAACAGTTGCTTTTTAAATTTTTAAACAGGTGAAGAAAAACTAAAAGAGGGTCTTCAACACGAAAATTATATGAAATGTTTCATTTCAGTGTCCATAAAGAAAGTTTCACTGGAACCCAGTCATGTCCATTCATTTACACAGTGTCTATAGCCACTCTTGAAGTAAACTGGGATACAACAGCTAAGTGATTATTTGATTATTTACCACCTAGATCTTTAAAAGAAAGAAGTCTACTAAATTTCTAATTGAGATTTTTCCACTTAGATTTCTAAAGAGGAATTTAAAAAATATATCCTCCTTTTCAAGATGAATTATTTCCTCTCCACCCAATACCTTACTAGGGTATTATGTGCACCCATACTAGTGATAATTTGGGCTTCCTTTTAATGACAGCAGGCAATGGCTAACACAGGCAACTGAAATCCTTTCAACAAGGCTTTCAACATCAACCTCTTTTTTTCACTCGCAAGACAAAAATAACTAAGTTCTGAATGGCTTTCATACCTTTAATAGTTTTTTGTTGTTAAGTTATACAACCTTATACTTGAAATATTAAATAGAAGGAAAGAAAGCTTTATTTACTTCAAGACACCTTAAAAGTTAGATTCCAAAGGCACTTGGAATTGAAGTAGGTGGTTTTCTCTGATAGTCACTGAAGTCAAATAAAGTCCACATTTCACATACATGACGTCTATTTAGTACAGTGCACCAGGTACCTAGTGCTACTTGAGATGACCTTGAATAATTAAGGCAAATTTCAGCAGAAGGCAAGAAGATGAAGACTTTCCACAGAAAAAGTGAGGCTATGCCACAGCAGGTTCAACTAAGAGAGGTCACTGATCAGGGGAAGAGTAGAGGCATTCCTAGGGGAGAAAACCCTAGGCCAGTGCAAAGCATCAAGGGTTATGAGTAACAGTGTTGCCACTCTTCTCACTGTAGTTCAGTATTAGCACTACCTGTAGTCAAGTGTTGCTTGATTTTTAAAACTATGACCAAACTCATTACTATCCTATAATACTAAAGAAGATGGTCTCTGATGCTACCCCTGCTTATGCTTAAATCACAATACAATACAGTGCTATCAGTGTTTGAGTTACAGATGTTATTTAAGTACTCTGTGCCAAAAGATTAGTGCAAGAATTAAAACGATGGATAAAAAGAAAGCACCTATGTCAACGCACTGCCCACACGAGTTTCAACTGGACTGCTATTGTAGGATGAACCTTCCTGACAAAAAATCTGAAAGATTCCAAAATCCAAAAACTTTTCAGTATCGTTATCACTCAAAAACAAAACAACAAAACAAAACCAAACAGAAAACAAAACAAAACCAGACATGGATGGGGGTGGAGAAATGCTCAGCCATTAAAAAGAGTGTGTACTGATTTTACAGAGAATCTAAGTTTAATTCCTAGCACCCACCCCTGGGCACCTGCACTCACATGGACATACATACCCACAGCAGACACAGACGGACAGACAGACAGACAGACAGACACAATTAAAATATATCTTTAGGGTCTGGAGAGGTGGTCCAGTGGTTAAGAGCACTGGCTGCTCTTCCAGAGAACCCACCACACACATGGAGGCTAACAACAAACAGTTCACTACTCCAGGGGTTCCAAAGCCCTCCTCCGGCCTACACAGACATTATATGCTTATGGTGCACTTACATACATGCAAGTAAGCTGGGCGTAGTGGCGCATGCCTTTAATCCCAGCAGGGAGGCAGAGGTAGGTAGATCTCTGAGTTTGAGGCCAGCCTGGTCTACAAAGTGAGTTCCAGGCCAACTGGGGCTACAGGGAGACCCTGTCTCAAAAAGACACAAAACAAACAAACAAACAAAAAACACATACACGCAAGCAAAACACTCATACACATAAAATAAAAAAATAAAATCTTTTTTTAAAATGGATGCTAGAGCATATCAGATTTATATTTTTGGAATAGGGATGCTTAAGACATCAAGTCTATGCAACTATCTCATATTCTATAAATAAATTCAAATTCTAAAAGCTGCTATTCCAAAGCATTTAGTAAAAATATTACTCAACCAAGCCAGGTGTAGTGGTGATGGAACTCCAAGTTCTAGGCCAGCCAAGGCTATATACAGAGTCCGTCTCAAAAAAAAAAAAAAAAAAAAAGGGAGGGAAGGAAAAAATTACTCAACCAACACTATGCACCAGAATGTAAACTCCATGACAGTTCTTTTATTCCATAATATCTCTTTAGTATAGAATGACCAAGCAGCTATTGTCCAGCATACAATATATGTTGAAAAAGACAAGAAAAATTTATAACAGTTATTCCTAGGGAGTATATAAGGGCAATTGCTATGTGTTTAGTGCTTTTCCTTCCTTGCCAACTCTTGGCACAGTATATGTACGTGTGCTTTATATGTATGTGAGCGCATGCACAGAGGCCAGCAATTGGCATTGGGTATCTCCTATCAATTTGCCACTTTATTTACTGAGGCAAGGTCTCTCACTGTACCCAGAGCGCCCAGATTTGGCTACTCTAGCTAGGCAGCAGCAGCAAGGATCGCCTATCTTTGCCTCTAAGTGTTGGGACTACAGGCAGAACATACCAGACCACTGTTTACATGGGTTCTAGGGATTCAAACTCCAGTCACTCATATTTGTCACTCAGGAAAAGTACTTTACTGAGACATCTTCTCAGCCCCTGTATTCCAATTT